ATTTCTGGTTCACGTGTCCTAGAGGGGAAACGTGTCTGGTCGGGCTGGGGTTGCACGTGTGTTCATCTGGGCTGGGGTGGTTGTGACCATGCCTTTACTCTTCCCTATGAGAGGGGCTTCGCAGCCAGGCTGCCTCTCCCATGGTGCCTCCTTGCATGGTCTTCCTACGACAGAGCCGTCGGAGAACTGCCACGGCTGCGGTGCACCCGAGGAGGTGTTGGCTGGCCCGGGGCTGTGTCCCGTCACGATATGCCCCAGCTGAGATGCCCCCGAGCCCACCTTTCTCAGCCCTTCCCCTCTTGCCAGAATTGCCCTTGTGAGGTTGGGGGAAGGGGGCTTTTGACTGCCCCTCTCAAGCACCTTGGAGACTGGCGATGGGCACCCGGCTGCATTTCCAGGCTCGGAGCATGCTGCTGCAATGTCAGCGAGCCCCGGCGAACCGTCCCGCAAAAAGGCTCGGGGAACAAGGAGGGGGGAAGAGCTCCCCATGCACCTCGCGGTCCTTGCTCATGATTCAGCCCCAGACACCGTGCCCGCTCTCCCGCCAGCGAGGCGGCTGGCGGATTCAGTTGCCAGACTCCAAATGGCTGGCTTCTGTCGGTGCCAAATGTTGCCTCAAACACACAGCTTTCTGCCAGCGGTTTCACTAGGTGTCATCACCAGGACGCCTGCACGTGCCGTCCAGTTTTTCTCTCTTCTTCCTGACGAGCCCAGGCCAGAGACGCTGCCCTGAAAGGTTGACGAGTCCATACACGACGCAGGAGGCAGAGGTGCTCGGCAGCGTCTGAGTGGATTAATCTGAGCCACGGAGCAGAGACGTGCATCCGAACGTGCGGCGTGCTGCGGGTCGGGTGCAACCCGTTCTCTGGTCGAAAGTTGCAAACATATACGCACGCGCATCAACGTTCAGAAATGCTTGAGTCTACGGGTCTGTCCGCTACTGATCCGGCTACCCGCACGTCTGAGAAGGGCGTCATCCCCATTGCAACTCAAAGTGAAATGAAAAAAACTTTCCGAGTGTTGCCTGCTGAGAACAGGAGATCTTAAAGGTTATATGCTTAAAACAAACACATTCTTCCCTTCATTTATATCCTTTTTGGTCACGTTGCGCGGCACGTCTGCCGTTAAATTGCATACAAAATGCAAATGGAGTGAAATATTATGATTTCTTTACACAAATTAGTGGCTTTGTATCTCAGGTAGATGATTTTCAAATGTTCGCGTGGACCCTACTGAGAATTAATTGTTTTTTGTCACTAGGCTGTATGCTATGGCCTTTTGTATGAAGTCCTAGTCGTTTGCTATACGCAGCCGCTGAATCTCAGGAGTCGGAAGAGTGACATTTTTAATATCACAGAATAAATTTGGAGACGTTGCGCTCTCCCGAGTGGATGGACTTGCCCTCGCAGCCTCAAGCACGGGGTTGGACTCCTGCGCTCCGGGCTAATAATGAGTAAAAGGATTAACTACTAGGAAACTAAGCCGCTCGTCTCATCGTTAGGAGTTTAAGCAGATACTGGCTGTGTTGGAGACTGCTCCCTTCCCTTTCCTGCTCAGAGGCAGGCGGGGCAGGAGGAGGAGGAGGGCAGAAATGGGGGGAAGGGGTGGGATGGGGGCTTCTTGGAGCAGGAAGGGGAAGGGAGAGAGTATTTTCACTGGCTTTAGGTACTCTAAAAAGTCCCTGGGGGCTCCCATGTGTGGTCCAGTCCGAAAGAGGGGGTGCAACCATGCCGCTGCACCCCGTCTGGATCCACCCCGGGTGAGAGCCAGGTACAAGCAAAGGGGTGCGCACAGCAAGTTCAAAATGATGCTGCAGAGTCGGCGGGCATTGCACACTCCTCTTCACGCAACAGCGTCAGCACCCAGAGCCCCCTGCGCCCCCGGCACACGGGACAGTCAGTCACGCCACGGGTTTCCTGCTCAGGGTCTGCCTGGCAGAAAGCGAGGGGCCGGCCCACGGCATGCAGCTGTTCCTTCACGGACCTCGTGAGCAGAGACGGATGCATGGATCCGTCTGTCCGCCACACGGACAGCTGGCCACGGGGTCCGCCGCTGCGTACGGTCATCTGGAAATGTTTCTCTCTTCTCTTCTTATGCTCGTCCACATGAGAGAGTCCTCTCCAAGCAAGGGATTAACTAGGACTGATGACGTTGAGCCTGGACTTCGCTGATCTACCCTAGAGAAGACCACAATCTCTTTCCTGAAACATCTGCTCCAGGAGCAGTCGCGGGACCAACCTCCTGACCCTCACGGTGCCGGCAGCAAGGGAACAGAATTGGTATTAGCACCAGCAATGTGGTAAAGATCCAGCAAATACGAGCTGCTCTTGGCTAAAGCTTTGCACGCGTTTTCCAGTCGGTAGCTGTTTCCAAATGTGACCTGGATCAGGAGGCTTTACATTTGATCTCGCCTCTCACATACAGGTTTGGTCGTGAGCTAGCTCGGCTGTTTGACTCCACGTGGCGCAGACACCTTTTGCACTGAAGATGCTCCAGCCAGGAAGGGTCTCCGAGAGCTCGCTCCTCAGGGCTGATTAGCCACTGCTTCCTAATTGTTAGGAAGTGCGGCCTGAGGATCAGATGCAGCTTGCGTATCCTGCTGCCGTCCATTATATCGTGCCGCCAAGGTGGAGGCTCAGCAAAGGGCGCGGGCTCCCTCGTGACACTCTGACATGTCGCACACATAGCAAACGCTTGGAGGGAAGCGTGGGCATCTGATTCACAGAGCGGTATCCAAGCCAGAGCTCGTCGGTGCAGCTCAGGTGATACGTGTCCAAACTGGCGGTGGGAAACAAGCCTGTAATGACCTGCTTGACTAAAAATGGTGGTTTCCAGAAAGAGGGATTTCTACGACGTTTGTGCCTGCTGGCTGGGCTGGACCTAGGGAATGGGAGAACAGCAACGTGCTATATGAGCTGATCTGGTGCCAGCAAGGTCGGGAGCAGGCTGGGTCCCACATCTCCTGAGTTCAGGAAGGTGCTTCAGCATACACCAACTGTTTGAGTTGGTCTAATAGAAGATATCAGATTTACCCAAAGGACCTTGTCCGTCGAAGCACGCACCTGACCTTCAACATACGAGTAGTTTCCTTTGTATCAGTGAGATTTGGCATGTGCCTAAGTGTGTTCCTGAAGTGGAGCTTTCCATTCAGCCATCTCCTCAGCCACGCTCTCCATCCATTTTCATGTGTGTAAAGTGGGGCGAACCTGTCTTCCTCCGTCTCTGAGTGCTAAGCGTTTCTGATCGCCACTGGGCCAGTTTTTAATTTTCTAATTTGGTTCACGGCGGGCATGTCTACACGTGCACTTACACTGGCTTAAATTTACTGCGCAGTAAGTGGAAATAGGCCCGCCTCTACACATGCAGGCATCAAAGTACATTAATCTTGTGTGTGGACTGACTTGGGACTACGGTTAGTCCACACACACAGTGTTACTGTGCCGTAAGGTGTCTACACGTGCATTACTGCGCACTAACTAATAGGGTGTAAATTTGATCCCTGCATGATGCAGGGACAACATACAATGCATGATGCAGGGATCAAATGATGCAGGGATCGATGCATGATGCAGGGATCAAATTTACACTCAAGTCGGTGTAAGTCGCTGTATTACTGTGCAGTACTGGCAGGCATGTGTAGACCCATGCCCATACTGTGCAGTCATTTTGGTTACTGTGCAGTAAATGTGCACGTGTAGACGCACCCTGTGTTTCAGATTGTCTGTGTAAGGCGACTCGGGGTCTCTGTTCTCCCAGGTGACCAGTTTTGGAAAGGTTTCAGCAAAGCTTGGTCTAATGGTTCGCCTTTTCCATTAAAGATGAGAATATTGTTCTTCATAAAATGTTGATTCTCTAGAAACTGCTAGTTTTAATCCACAGCAAACGCTTTAGAAAGCCATGTTCGAAATGAGGAACAACTAGCTGTTGGTGGAGGAGAGCCTCGTTATTTAAATGTTAAGAAGCGTCTCGCATGTCCAGCTGCTATGGATACTATTGATTACATTACTTTGATAAGCAAGATGGGAGCACAGAGGTTGGCAAGATGCTGTATTGATCTGGTGCAAGCCAGTCTGGGCATTAACACGTGGAGGGTTTCGTTCAAAAGTCAATTTTCTCTCAGCCTTGATTTCAATACCGATGCCCCCTGAGAATCGTCCCGGGTCAGTTTTATTCTCACCCCGCACTTCACTGCAGCATAAACTGCTAAATAAATATAGACACCACACTATTAGCTATGTGCCAACACTAGTCAAATGAACCTATCTACTCTGTTCGGTTTGCTGATACTTGTTTTTGTAAATAATAATGCCTAGCACTTTACAGCTTTTAAACCCTTTGCAAACTTCAGCTAATCAATCACGGCAGCCGCTCTGTAAGGCAGGCAAGTATTATTCAGTTATTAAAACCAGCCACGTCGGGGAGTGACTGCAAAGCAAAATTCAGCGCTAACAGTGCCATGGTGCTACATGCCAGATTGCTTGCGAGAAAGCGACAGGACATCTTTTGAAGGGAGAATTTGAAGCAAGTCAGAGTCCTTCCGGGGAAGGCTACCCAGGTGTCTGGAGCCAAGTGACTAGAGCGGTGCGATATGCAGCCCTTCAGGTTTGGGGGAGATATGAAAAATATGCAACCAGATTAGAGAGGATGCACAGAAGCATCTAATTGTAGGTGCAACGGTTCGTGATCCGGACACGGCGTCTCACCCAGTGCGCGTGCAGGTGATGGAGAACGTGTGGATGGGAAATGCAGAACATACGTTCTCTGCTTGAGACCTGCTTGGATGTCTGGAGCCATGGACCATATGGATGGAAATGCAGAAGGTGGCTCCCAGCCAAGCACATTCACACACGCGCGCGCACGCACACCCCCCTCCCCCCCCACCCCTTCCATGAATGGCGCTGAGTTAAAATACTTGAATGGTTTGAGCGTGGAGGCTGGCCTAGTTTCCCAAGTCGTTTTCTTCCCTCTTTCTTTTCATTCCTTTTCTCTCTGTGTTTCAGATTATGCGTGGCCTTTGCCTAAACAGTTGTGCCCCATATGGATTTCCCTAGATGTCCTCTTTTCAACCGCATCTATCATGCATCTCTGTGCCATCTCCCTCGATCGGTATGTAGCAATACGCAATCCCATTGAGCACAGCCGCTTCAATTCCCGCACCAAGGCTATTATGAAAATTGCTGCAGTTTGGACCATATCCATAGGTAAGCACCGCGACTCGCACTCGAACTCTCTTGAATGCATAATGGCATTACGCTAGCTGTCACTGGGGATTTTTAATAGGCCGTGCCAATTAATTTACCCGGGCTGCATGACTGAATATAGTGAATGGCTACCGGGAAGGAGAAACCTTTCTTTCTGATTGGCCCGTGACCGCACGAAGCCACGGATTCTCGCAGCGCAGTTATTTTGCGTGTCCGAGCATCACTATATAGATATCAATATGCCAATAAAAGCCATAAACCGTCATAAGACAAGCTAATGGGGCTATCAAACTGCCATGTGTAAATAAAGCAGCTACGGAAGGGACGTGGCATTAGCAAAGAGTCGGCAAGTAAAAGAGCCAATGCAGAGAGCGTGTCTGCACTGCGGTGCCTGCAGTGGAAGTAGCTAGCTCAAGGCCCGGGAGCCGTCTGTGCCCTCAGCGCAGGATAACCGCTCCCCTCTTTATCCCCCTTCTCAGGTAGATTTTGCAGCCGCTGCTGAGCTCTGGTTGCTGCAGTCGCGCAGCTAGCTGCACCTCGGCCGGAAAGCTAATCCGTGCGTGTCTGCATCACAGGGAGGTTGCAGCAGGGAAAAGACTGACCCTCCTGTGTCTGCTTCAATACAAGGAAACTCGGGCTCAGTTAGGAGGCCCAGGGGAAGCAGTGGCAGGCATTGCAGTCCCAAGTTGGGAATAACGCGGGGAAGGTTTGTTAAAATATTGCATTGAGATGTAGGTGAGAGGAGTTTGCGGGGCCTTCATTGCTCTGCTCCGTTACATTCGCTTGCTCGCATGAGAAGCAGCCTGCCAAGATTGAGCACGTGACGGAAAGTCCTTTTCTCCCTCTGTCAGCTGTGGCTTTCAGCTGTATACAAATGAAAAATGCATCCTGGTTTCTCACTTTACTAAACCAGCCTAGCCTCTTGCCTCCAAAATGAGCTATTTTTCACTGGAATGGGATGCAGTGCCGATGTCTGTAGGGCGCCAGGGGCTTCCTAGGGAGCTATAGAAAATGACAGATGTAAAAATGCACGTCACCGATTCCAACCTGGGCCAGGGACAGGCATTAGACGCACATACTTGTCTGTGTGCTACCATCCCAGCAAAGAGCACGACTCTCGTGAGCGCCCCGCGATGAGGTTAGGTAAACTGACTCATCCGAGGATTGTCGAGTTGAGATGCTCCGCAACAGGAAACGAGGGAGTCTGAGCTGTTGCACGATGTGACCGTAGTCATGGCAAATGCCCCTCTGCACCACCGAGCTTAAAAGCCTGTTGAAAATGTGGTGTTCAAGAGAAAGGAACTGGCTAAATAAAATTCACCTTCGCCCTCGATGCAGGTATCGCAAGGACCATCTTCAGTACGTCCGCGATGCAGGCAGCACTTAAGCACTTGCTGAACTGCCAGCATGCGTTTAAATCCCTCTACAGCAGGACATTAGTGCCTCTTCAGAGCTGTTCTGAATAGAGAGGGCACGCTGCTCCAGCACTGGGAAGGGGGAATTGATTGTAGTTTGTCTAATTGAGTGGCTTGGGCTCTTCCACTGTCCTTGACTTCGCTGGCAGGAAGCATGCAGGGCAGATGCTTTGCTCCTCGAGCCGTGAACGTGCCAGCTTGCACAAGCTTACTGAGATGGGGGACGTACTGTTGATTTCTGTATGGGAAGGGACCGTGTCCAGAGTGCCGTAATCTTGCAGGAACAGGATGTGGCAAAACCAGTCTTTCCTTCTGTTGTATTACTTTAAAACAAGGAGACTGCAAGAAGAAACGGAGGACAAGAAGGTGCCCAAAGCCCCTGGATTCAGGTCTGGGCAACTGCAAGCCCTGCTCTGGAAGTAGCACAGCCAGCAGCCATGAAGGGCTAGGCACAGATCTGGGCTGTGCAACCTGTCATCTAGGCACGACTTCTTGGGGTTACAAGGATCAGAGACTTGGGGTGCTTTCCCTCTCGCCTGCAAGGGCCAAGTCGAGCAAGCACGGTGCAGGGCTCTCCGAACGAGAGGCTGCAACGTGGTTTAGTCAGGCAATCTAAACCGAGTGCCGCTGTTCGCCTCCAGTTAAAGCCCTGATGCTTCCTTTTAGATCTGATGCGACCTGTAGATAATGAGAGGTTAGCCAAGAGTGTAATTGCCCTTAAAAAACCATAATGCAGAACCAGAGAGGGCCCAGTTAACGGGACGTGCAGCCTCACTTTCTCATAAGCAGAGTTCACAAGGTCTCGAGATTGTCTGTTGTGTTCACTCCATCCAGGAAGATCACACACACAGCCACCGCTCGGGTACCCGTACGGCAACGTGAGGCGAGATGGATTAGGACGCGTTTTTGCTTCTGTTTTTTGTTCCCGAGGCAGAGGTGGGCCTGATCCAGACTGGGGCATCCGTGCATTGCTGTAGGAGAAATAATGTGCAGTAAGGAAGATTCCTATGGGAACAGAGGTCCTTTTATCTCTGCTTTCTATGTTATGTTTTAATAGGGTAAGATGGATAATATGACAGCCGCCTGTGACCCAGGGTAGTAAGAGCGGTATTCTGAACTGACAAAACTGAAAAAAGAGAAGAAAGAGAGAAAAAGAGTCTCGGATCTTAGCAATGCTGCAGCTTTTACTAGCCCTTACTTTGTGCACGTCAAATACCTTCATTTGTTTGTGGAGTGGAAACAGTTCGACATGAATTCCTTCCTCCTTTCTTCGTAGCCACCACCTTAGCCATTGCACTGCACTGCATCTAGCATGGACCACACGTATCCCATTATTCACAAAAAAAATCACAGACCTGTCTCTCATCAACCACAATTTTGAGAGGTTGAGGCCAGAGCATGCATGCCATGAGAAATGCCCTCTGAGGAAGGTGGTAATTTGTGTAATAGAGAACCTTTTACCTGCAGCTTGTGTGAGAGTAGCTGTTATCTCTATTTTGCAGATGGAGAGACCGAGGAATTCATTGTTTTAACCTGTTATTTGGCAGTTAGCTAGCACCGGAGCGTGAGATTGAACCTGCGGCTCCTGGCTCCCTGTGCCATGGCGCTGGCCTAGGGAGTGCTGCCCTTCTCCAGTTTGGTTTAGTGCAAGATAGAGCCTCCCGTATAGTTGTGTGCGGGATGTGAGCAGCACACAGACACCCGCTCGGTGCATTTTATTGTCCTGTCATATGATAGAGGAAGAAGCACAAACAGGGCAATATGGTTTCAAAAGAAATGTCGTAGTGGTTCCTGAAGTGGATTTGCATCTGTGTGCTGCAGCTGCCGTGAGCATACGTAGCGGGTTTCAGTTCTGAGCCTTTCGGGGCCCGATCACATCCCCCAGCAGGTATGTGGGGCTTCCCCTGAGCAAGCATGGGAGCAAACCTGGGAACGAGCTTCAAGATGCAGCCAGTGTTGGGGCCCCAAAGCTTCAGGGTGCTACTGCCGTCCAAGTCAGCCGCGTTACCGCGTGTGACTAACTATGGATGGGGATTAAAACACCCCCAACTCAAGTGCAAAGCCCTGCACTTTAGAGGGAGCAATCCCCTGCACTGGTGCAGGCTGGGGGTGACGGGCTGGGCAGCAGCTCTGCAGAAAGGGACCTGGGGGGACAGGGGACAAGAAGCTGAACAGGACCCAGCAGTGTGCCCTTGATGCCAAGAAGGCGACTGGCATCCTGGGCTGCATCGGTAGGAGCGGTGCCAGCAGATGGAGGGCAGTGATTCTCCCCCTCTATTCAGCACTGGGGAGGCCACATCTGGAGTGCTGTGTCCAGCTGTGCCCCCTCCACTGCAGAAAGGATGTGGACACATTGGAGAGAGTCCAGCGGAGGGCAGTGACAATGGTTGAGGGGCTGGGGGACAGGACTGGTGAGGAGAGGCCGAGGGAACTGGGCTGATTGAGTCTGGAGAGGAGAAGACCGAGGAGGATTGAATAGCAGCCTTCACCTCCCTGCAGTGGGGCTGCAAAGAGGACGGAGCTGGGCTGGTCTCAGTGGGGGCAGATGGCAGGACAAGGAGCAATGGGCTCCAGCTGCAGCAAGGCAAGTTGAGGTTAGATATTAGGAAAAACTCTCTCCCTAGGAGGGTGGTGAAGCAGTGGAGCAGGTTACCCAGAGAGGTGGTGCCGTCTCCATCCTTGGAGGTGTTTAAGATCCGTTTAGACAAAGCCTTGGCAGTTGGGGCTGGTGCTAGTGTGAGCAGGGGCTGGACTCATGAAGTCCCTTCAAACCCTCATTTTCTAGGGTCCTATGAACTCCAGCTCAGGTTCACTTCCCATCTTTCCTCTCATCCGGAGCCAGAGGTCAGGGGTAAAGTCAAAATGCATTTTGGGTTCCTGTATTATTATTGTCGCCTGTGGAGCTGGTGATGTGTGTGGGCACCATTTCCAGCTGCTAGTGGGGTTAGTCTGGTATGTCCGAGCGGAGGGGGTGTAGCAGGCACGGCGGGCGTGTTGCACACCCACCTCTCTCTGGAGGAAGGCAGAGCTGCAACGGGCCTGTTCCAGCTTCCCCGTCGGCAGCATTGCGTAGCATCCCTCCTGGCCATGGACGAGCGTGCGGGTTCCTAGTTGGGAATGACATTTGCTGTGTCTGTAGCGGCATTCATCTGACATCGTCATCATTGCCGGAGAATGGAAGCGCCCCCGTTTTTCTCTGTTCCTGTTGAGAGTCTGCGGTGTTCGCGTCTATCCATTCCTCGTCCCACTTCCAAAGAAAGCCCGTTTTCGAAGCCTGCCGTACTTGCAATCTATTACCCGGCCCGCTCTCCTGACGCTCTTGCCGTCTGGCATCGGGACAGCGGAGGTCTCCTGCACCGCACGACAACGAAGTAATTGGCATATCTCGAACGTATTCCTCCTCGCGGAGAGCAGCTGGGACTTCTCTTTGGCATCCTGACATTATGTCTTAATGAACCACAGAGCACCACATGTCTTGTTTATGTAATATTAATTGTGAATACCATGGGGGGTTTCCTACCATTTCAAGAAAGTACCTTGCTAGGCAAGTCTTCTGTGGCTTGAAGACAGAACAAATAACTAAAG